CACAAGGTGCTTTGAGTTTGCTGGATTCAAAGTTCTTATTTATACGTTCGGCAAGCGCAACACCTTGTGATCTGGCGTGCTGCTTTCGCTGCTCTGCTTCGCGAAGATGCTCAGATCTGCTCACGGCAGGAACGGATCTGAGAAATCTCTCATCCTCTAAGGTGCTGGCAGCTCGCCCAGACCTTTTTAGCAGATCCCACAATGGCAAGAACATGGTCCTCAAGCTGCAGGACCGCTCTGCTTTAGTGCGGCTCGTCTCGTCGCCTCGAGCCTTCGCCTTGGAGGCCCTCGGCCTCTCGTGCCTTCCGCCCGGCCTCCCAGGAGCGTGTCAAACAAGCGTGTCGAAGAGCTAAGAGCTAAGAGCGCTCGCTTAGCGGCTTAGCGAGCTCTCTAAGCCGAGGCCGGCAGAGATCCCGCCCCTGGGCACGGCACCTCCGAGCCCGCTGGTGCCCACGAGCCAGGCCCGGGGGACGTCCAGTTTTGTAGTTGCCACGGATGTGCAATCAGAAACACGGCGAGGGCTCTGCGGCGAAGTGGGGAGGCTGCTTGGCCGAGAGATCTCAAAAGGAGACTGGTGAAGCAGCCTTTGCTTCAGGTCCGTGGGCGGCCAGAGCAGGGGGCTACATGAAATCAGCAGGCTCCTCAGAGGAGCATGGAGCATGGAAGAGCTAAGCGACCGTCTTCGTGCTTTTATGGAAGCGACCGGAAGGGCCCGGAGTTGCCTCGGCAGCCCCTCTTTGGCGGGGAAGCTTTGGAGGGCGACGTGCTGGAGTGGAAGGTCAGCCTGGCTAGATCCAAATTGAAGTCGATCCTTTGCTCCTTGCAGGGCAAGTTCGGCTGGATCAAACCCCTCCAGCCCATCGACCACCCTCTCGCAGCCGGATGCCCAGTGCACCGTGCGAGCCTGCGCCATCTGATAGAATCTGGCAGTGTTGCCACCAGCATGGAGTCAAACGCAATTACTGGAGTGTTCGCCGAGTCCCGGAACAAGTCTCGCATCTACGTGCACGTGAAGGCGTGCATCACAGAAGTTTCCGGGTGTGGTCGCAAGATGTTGCGAGCGCAGCGGGAGGACCTCGCGGACGGCTTGCAGTCCCTGACCGCTGGGCAGCGTGTGGCTTTCCAGGCCTGTCCGATCAGGGGGATGTCCTCGAGGTAAAGGTTTTTTCGACTAAGCGCAAGTACTGAGTACTGCAGGCATACACTGACGACAGTGGTATCGGCGCAGAGGCACATCGACTGCAGTCTGGCATTCTCTTTGCGTGTACCCGATCAGGCTGTCCACCTTCCAGAAGCGGAGCCTGCAGCAGCCGCGTAGTAGGACGCAACAGACCGATAGCCCTGCAGCCCGCTCCGTGCGCTGGGCAATGTCGGAGAGCGGAAAAGGCGGAAAAGATTCATCCACCGAGGTTGCAGCTCAATGTGCTTTTGGGGCATCTGAAGCCTGAAGCGAGGTTCGGCCTCTGCATCCAAAAGTGGGCCAAAGCCGTCGAATCCGCCGCCCCTTGGCCGCCACTTTTGAAGCCTCGTCGATCCTCCGCCTGCGCCTGCGCCGCCTGCGCCGCCGCGTGCCGCGCCAGGCCGAGTGCCAACGTGTCCTCGGAGGTCCGCTGGGCGTCGCAGCGCGCGTCACCGAGCGTCACAGCGCGTCACACTCGCGCACTCGTCGTAGGGTCGCCTCAGAGTTTGAGTTTGAGTTTGTGCTTCCGCTCTCCCGTGGCCAGGAGCGGGTCGAGCGCCCCACCGTGCTTCTGGAGCTGCTTGACTTCAAAGACGACTCCGAAGTTGAGAGATTCAGGGCTTCCTTTGAATTCGGAGACTTTGCAGCTTTCGGTGTGAACGCATCCACCTAGGCATGGCATCAAGTACACTGGCCAGTGGAAGGGAGACAAGCGTGATGGCCATGGCTTGCAGGACGGGTTTTGGGTCTTGGAAGCAGTTAGGGTCTAGGCTAGTGTCCTGACTTGACAGGAATGGCCGGACGGCGCGCGGTTCGATGGCTCCCATCCAAGCAAAAAGTAAGGAACAAGCTTTTGACGGCAAAGATAGCCTACTTTCCGAGGTCAATGGCGGAATGGCTTAGCAGAGGGCTTTGGAAAGTTCATACACGCTGACGGCCAGCCCCTGAAGCATTCTTCTTTGTCGTTACTGACATGTGTGGGCAGCTCAAGCACGAGTATGTGCCACCGGATCAGCTCGGGCACACAGACACCGCTTCACCGCAACCTCGGAAGTAATCAGATACCAGTGCCTGTCATGCATGCATACCCCTACTCTCTGGCGCCGATCGCGATTCATGTCGTGAATACATGGTCCTAGAGGGTTTGTCGTCGAGTTTGCTGAAGACCAAGCCTTGTGTGGTTCTCGACGATGTAGTTCGTGCATATTCCTTCGAGCCCCAGTCGCAGCTTGTGCTTACGGACTGTGCAACACCGCCCGCGGCAGGCGACGTCTATGAAGGGCAGTGGAGGGACGACAAAGCCAACGGAGAAGGCGTGGATAAGTTGAATCCTTGAGCACAGGGAGCTTCAGCATGGGAGGCGTCTATCACCATGCCGACGGCTCCAGGCAATGCATACTATAGTCAGTACAGTGCAGATTTCTTTGCTGTTGACTGCCGTAGGCTGCATGGCAGGTACGTTGGCGAGTGGAAAGACGACCAGAAAGAGGGTCATGCCATGGAGGAGTGGGCCGGGGCCCGAGAGTCATCCGACGGAGGTGCCTGGGGCCGGGGACCCACAAACGTTGGCTCTGGAAGTAAGGCAGACAATTCCCGCTTCGAGGGAGAGTCCTGTGCCTGCACAGCCAGGAAGTTTGCTTCTTTTGCTCTGCGAACTGACTCGACTCTCCCAGACGTCGTGCCAAGGTACCGTGCCGGCAAAAAGCACGGGCATGGAACGTTTACCTGGCCAGAGGGTTCCTCGCCACTTGCTCAGTGGCTCATGAGAGAATGCACAGACTAGAGACGACTGCTTGAGCTGAGAGGTACGAGGGCGAATTTCAGAACAATGAGATACACGGTCAGGGCACGTGAGCTGCCAGACCTTTTTGATGTGTCGTTCGGCATCTCGCACTGCAGATCGATGCTTCTGGACATTGAGTCTGATAGGTACTTCTGGAATGATGGGCGTGTGTACTGTGGGCAGTGGGCAAACAACAGGATCCACGTTGCTCTCTGCATTGGCGTGCAGCGCGTTGCGGTACAGTGCAGGATGAGTGGCCAGGGCACGTTCACGTGGAGAGACGGCCGGAAGTTGGCGGCCCAGCTTGCGGCACGTGGTCCGTTGTCCGCGTTCCGGTTGGGTTAGCCGCAGGTACATTGGCAGCTACATGCACGACAAAAAGGTGTCCAAGAGAGCGGAGCCAATCGCCCCAAAGATGTGCAAGCTGCAGGATGGACACGGGGTGTTCACGTGGCCAGACGGACGGGAATATGTCGGCGACTGGAAGGAGTCTGCGCGCTCTCCGTGTGCTCTGCATTGCTCTGCTCCCCATGGAGAGGATGGCAAGCAGCATGGCATCGGAGTCTTCAAGACCGCCAAGGGCGACTATCGCCGCGGTGAGTGGAAGGTGGCAGCAAGGGAGGACTGGATCGAGCTGGCTTTCGCATTGCACCTGCAGGATGGCAGTCGCATCCGCTGGATCTCGGAGGTGCCTTTATTCTTCGCCTGTGCTGCTTGCGCCGCTCCTTTGATGCAAGGCGTATCGGGAGGATGGGCAGCAGCCTGGCTCTCCTTCAGCTCCGCAGGCCCTTTTTCAGATGCTCGCAGGAGGCAGAGCTTTCCTTTTTTGGCTTTGTCAATGCCAGGATGCAGCGCAGAACACATCGGAGCCACGAGCCGGAAATGCGATTTGAGTTCCTGCATGGGGCTTGAACTTGTACCCTCTAGTGCCTGATGCTAAAAGCATCTGAGAGTTGTCATGAAGCCGCTGGTGCAACAGCAGCGCGATTCTAACACTAGGGCTCTTGCTTGTCAAAACAGAGTGGCTGCTTGTTGGAATCGTTGGTCAACGCCCTTGGCCAAGAGTCGCCAAGTCAACGCACAAAGATGCGTGCAGGCCGCCACCATGGCCGCTGTCGCTTTCGGCGTTTAGCGAGTTCTCCATTTTGAGTAACCGTGCAGACATGCATATGCCTGTCCTCCAACGTCGAAACCGTCGCGAAGCACCGAGCGGCCCTATCCTTGTGTTCCGCAGAAGCCCTGGCAAAGGATCAGGTCGTAGGACAGCCAAACGGTGTCAACGTCAGACAAAGCTCTCCCTTTCTGCCAAGAGTCGGATCTTGGCTGGCAGCTCTTGAAGATGCGCCGATGAAAAGCAGTGTCGGCAGCAGTCGCCTTCTTGTTCTCTGTGGCTTGAGTCCTTCCACAGTTACTGCTGCTGCTCCATGGCGTCTGCGACTCCTTTCAAGAATCATTGAGAACTATTCTGCAACGAATAAGAAAGAGAGCAAGACTTATCGTCATTTGGGGCACCCATGAACGAACTACAACAAAGCAGATAGACATAAGGTAGCGTTAGAATGATGCATGCACCGAATATCGAGATAACTTCATGCATCGGCAGTGGATGGCAGTCCACTGGTAAATGGAGCGATGATGAAAGACCAGACACAAGACCACGTGGACTGACAGGATACCGCAGCCAGAAAAGTTTTCGAGCTGTTGCATGGCACGGGTTGTCATGTAGTGAACCTCCACACAGCATCACGCAGCCACGGACGAGTTGTAGTGTTTGCCGCTCAAATGGCGGTCGAACCCTTCAACATTGTTGTGCGCAGCCCGGTCATTCCGCTGCACACGGATTGTTGCTGTTCCTGGGATGCTTGCGCTGCAGAATGCATGAACGAATTGACATGCTGCTACGGCGGGCACCTTTCTCTTAACTTGAGGACCGCTGCGGTGCTACAGTGGGTGCATTATTTCTGCCATGAGCTGAGGTTCGGAATACCTTCATTGATGCTGTGCAAGTTCTCGCCCCAGCTTCAGCAACGTGGTCGGTGTACCCATTGCTTTCACGCGAGTGCCTCGGCACTAAGCGGACGTGGGTGTCCGCATGCGTCATGGGAGGAGCCTGAAGGCAGAGTTCTGGATGACAGCCCCCTGAATCGGACCCCGTGTGCGCCATTTTTCTGTTTGCCGCTTGAAGCATTGGCCTGGACCTGATGCTGGGCATGCGAGGACGCATTCCGATCCAACTGGAGGCTACTCCAAGCAAGTTCTGAACTTGGACAGGCCATGCTTTGTCATCGCGGTGGTTTGGTCCCTTCATGTCCGTTTCGAAGCATTGCGCAGGATAGTGCCGCGAGCAGGAATAGCTGAGGCTGGAACCCTTGCCTTACTCGGTGGTCGAACTCCGTCGGAGATGACTTCAGGAGGAAGAGGTTCACGACCTCCCAGAGCCAGCGCTTGTCTTGGTTCTGCGGAGCTATCGTCGGCCGGGCTGCCACCACTGGCTGAGGCTTTCCACCATCGGATCAAACTCGAGGAGGAGCCCCGGAGCGGGGCACCGGAGTTGGGACTGTCCCGGTCCCCCCGGCCCCCCCCGCTACAGGAGGAGGCGCCCTTGGCTCGGACGAGGAGCATGGGTCAGCCGCAGTCGGCCTCGGCTTTGATCTTACAAAGAGGCTCCGAAGGCTCAAAGGCACCGCGTCGCCACAGACCCCCGAGGTCCTGGCAGGGATCGGACGCACGCTCTCGGCGGCCTCTGCAGGCGCTCTGCCGGACAGCACCCGCACCAGCTGAAAGATGGCAGACACAGGCGAATCGCTGCAACGACTCCTGACTGGTGGTGGCGAGGAGCAGCAGATCAGCACTTTACAAGCGTTGATTGGATCAGAGTCAGTGTGCAGACTATGGCAGGATGAAAGCTTTGCGGCTGCCATGGAAACGGTGCCTCCTTGGGTTTCGTCTGAGCCTCATGGCAGTTGGCGTAGATATTTCGGTCGCGCGTTTTTCGTCTGCCTAACATGTCGCTTCCGTGGCTGTTCCAGCGGCGTATGAATGTCAGCAAAACACCGAAATAAGGAACATGGGTGTTCCTCAGCCACCGTGGATGTACCCCACTTGTGGCTTCGCTAGCAGGGTTGGATGTTTGACTTGATCTCTGTGCAGGTATCCGCCGGGTCCTTCTGGGCCACAGGCTCCGGCATCTGCATCAATGATGCCACCAAGGCGGAGCCGAGATCTCCAGACTTCGGTGTCCTCCGCTCTGTGCTGCACTCAGGTGGAGCATGGATAACCTGACGGTTCAGACGGCGGTGCAGAGTGTGGCCGCGCAGAGCGCTGCCCAGGTGGCAGCGGCCCGGCTTTCAGCGGCTCAGGTTCAGGTGGCCCTGGAACTTTCCAAGGCGAAAGCAGAGGCCGCAGAAGCCAAGGCATTGGCTCAGGCTTCCGCTGAGGCCCTAGCCAAAGCCCAGGCCACCCAGCCCTGCGGGTGCTCTTGCGGGGGGATGCCTTGTGCACCTTGCATGTATCCCTCCTTGGCCCCGGCCTCCTCGGCATCCTCGACCGCCGCAGCGGCCGCAGCCGCCGCAGCCGCCGCAGCCCAGTCTCCATTCAGACAGGACAGGCTGCAGCCTTTGAGTTCGCACCACCCCCTCGGTCACAACTTTTGAGAATTTGAAGGATCTGCACCGGGCCGGCCAGGCCGGAGTGCAAAGAGACTGGAGCCTTGCCTCTGTTTGCAGTTCGAAGGATGTTGGGCTGTCGACGCAGTTTTCTGCGAATCAGCCAGACTCCCAGCTTGAGCATCAGCGAGTTGATGCAGAGTTCTGGGAGCTCATCGATAGGCTCCGTGTAAAGCAGACGCACGAAATGGGAAAAATGCGATAGCATGTGAACAGGAGCAGAGACAGAAGTGCCACCTTGTGAAGACGAGATGTCCAAGCCTTTCACGAGAAGGCTCTTCCCAAACTACCTAGTTGAGTCTGCACCTCACTGCTTTCGAAGCTATTCGGCCACCGTAAAAATCTCTCAGGCTTGAATCCTGAAATGGTGGTTATATAATCATTGCTTCTGAACACGCGCACATAGAATTCAGAAAGGCGCAAAGCCACAGAAAGGTGTTCAGGGTATCTTGTCAAGTGGCAGCTGACAGAACCATTAGTCTCGAACAGACTTTGCACAGCTTTCGTGTGACTTTCGGAATTGCGAGCCTCTTGGCTTCTGCACCTCTCTGAACACATGAGACGCAGCTCCTATAACATGTTGAGCTTCGTAGAATGAACATCAAAAGATGGACTAGTGAAGCACATTTCTGGGACTGGGACGGAACTCTTTTGAGCTGAGCGCAGCTCTTCGTCTGAGTTGAGGTTTTCTCGCAGAGACCTAGGGCCAGGGCCACCCGTGGGCCGCCGACACTGCTTCCATCAGGACGATCGGATCGCGCGGTCAGTTGTGTCTGAGGAGTTTTTCTGGGCATTCAGTGGGTTCAGGGTGTGGGGGTCATCTCTGACTCTATGGCCGATTTCATGAGGGAACAGGCCGTGCCGGCAGTTGCGGTTGCTTCTCTGTGGATTGCAAGTGGCGTGACATTCGGCTCGAAACAGCACGTCACCTTTGCGATCCAGGCGATGAAGGCCAGCACGGGATGGACCTTGATTTCAGAAGTGCTGCTTTTAGATCTGAAAACGAAAGATTTCTGAACGGAACGTTTTCGGATGAAGCTGCACTGAGCCTTAGGTCAACTGCTGTCAACTGGCTGCCCCTTTGCACATGCAAATGCAACCGCAAGACCTCGATCGGCTGCATGACTAGCTTTGAGCAGAACACATTAGGCTGAGGTAGCGACTCCAAGCGATGTGATTGCCCTCCCTCTTAGAGTGTCATGGCACCGGCTCGTTCTTTCCGTCTCTCGCGTTGTGGAAGTGACGTGGACCAGATGCAACCTGCACAGGCCGAAGTTGTCGAGGACGATCTGCCTGTAAACCGGGCCTCTGGCCTGTTGAAGCGCTTTGTGCCAAATCATTGATCGGGCAAGCGGAAAGGACAAGAAGAAGCCTGCTAGTTCGAGGCGCAAGCAGTTTGTGCTAGTGCAGTCTGTCATCACGCAGATTCCGACACACTGGGGTCAGCTAGGCGATTATGTTTGGACGACCTGACGGAAGATGCTCTGCAGGTCCTTGCCTGAGTTCGCAAGAAGATGTAAGACCATGCAGTGACGTGCATGTGCCAGAACACAAGTCTTGCGCTGCGGACTCTTGAGGAGTATAGAGCTCGGGTGTCGACTGCACGCAAGAGCCTGGCTTTTGACAGCGAGGCTTTGCACTCAAAACATTCTCGGAGGCTTTGTGCAGGGTAAGAGTCAGCAGAATAGATGCGAGTTACGTAACGATTCGACAAGGCCAACGGAACCGGATCCACGACCACCGCGGCAACGACCGTACCGTCGTCAAGATCCATCTGCACAGCATTCTCCTCTGAAAACTCCCAGTCCCAGGCGAGAATATGCCAGAATTTGCTTAGTCTTGTGGGACATCGCAGAGCTCAGTCGATAGGTCAGCCATCAGGTCAGTCGAAGTGAGACTGAGAAGTGCGGAGCTCGACTTCACCAGAAGGAGTGCGGGAAGATTCCCTCTTTGAGGCGAGCGGAGAAGGCATGGCTGCGGGGGCGTCTGCGCCAAGCCAGACGGCGGGAGCGCCATCTCGCTGTTTTTTGCTACACTGCTTTATCAATGCAGCTTTGGATTCCTCTTACCTACTTCCACGTGCACAGTTCGAAGCAGAGGAGCTGCTGAATGAGTTTCTCAAGCAGCATCGCTTCAGCCGTGACATCAGACTCTCGGATCCGTTTGTTTCAATTTCGAGTTTTGGTTTCTCAAACTGCAAACTGCTGCCCTAGGCAAATATCAAATAGAAGAGGACTAGTTGCAAGTGACGCATACGAGACAGGTCCACAATGTCCAGACGAACCGTGAGTGCATGCAGCAATTTTAGACAGATGGTCAGTCTCGCCCGAGGCGAAGCGCAGGCACCAGCGACTTGCTTCCCTTTCTTCAAGTCCAGTCCTCGGCGTGTGGCGGACTGGCGACCGTAAGCAGCTTGATTCAGTGCCAAGGTAGCTTTAAGCCTAAGCTGAAACCCCAAATCAGAAGTCTGAAAGCCCTAGGCCCTAATCCCGCTGCTCGAGGAGATGCGAGACGCTGTATCCGATCCACGTCGCGGCCCAGATGGGACACACCGAACTTGTTGCCCAGCTGCAGTTGCCAGCCGCATGCTTCTGGTCCACTGCGTATCACAGTTTTGTGAAGGCGCTTGTCTCTAGACAAGTGTCAGGATGGAAACAACGAATACCCTGGCGTTGTTCGGGGTCTGGCAGGGGATGGCTCCTGGCAGCCAATGTTGAGGTTTTCCACATGCCCGTATGAGCATATCCGACCCCAGCCACGTGCATGTCGAACCTGTGACGCTCGCCTGTGTATAGTGTGCAGCTGGCATATCGATCGGCCGTGACCCTTCCGCAGCATCGATGTTTCGCATTGCGCGTGAAGGGAGTGCTACCTCCTGCCCTTTGCTTTTGCCTTGCTTTGCCGGTTATTTGGTTGCACTTGGTGTTGCCAAGGCGATGTTTGTTGGTAGCAAAGCTTAGGGGGTGTAGGATAGGCTGCTGCCTTGCTTGCTCAGCCTCGCTGATGGAGGCGTCTGCGGCGCCTGACGCGTCGGATGCGCCGGTGCCTGGAGATGACGATCCATGGGATCGGCGGACCCATCAAAAGGAGCAGCCGCTGAAGAAGATGAGGGCGAGGGCCTGGCAGATGCAGAGGACGACGCTCAAGCGGTGCAACCCTGTGCCGGAGGCGCAGCCCACAACCTCTTCCGTGGCAGCTTCGGGAGAGCAGTAGCGTCCGACGCTGCACTCCCAGGCCGGAGCGGAGAGAATGCCAATGCAAGGTGATACTTCTGGATGACGGGGGTCTTCCTGCTGGAGGTGCTGGGGTTGGCTGTGTTCCTCAAGGGTGGCCTTCCGGATATATAGGACATGCTTGTGTGCCTCCGGGGTGGCCTGCTGCTTGTCAAGTGTTCCTGTTGGAGTTTTCAGCCACACGGCGTTGCTCCGGGGTGGCCTGCAGGAATCCTTGTCCTTATGCTGTTCATGCCAGGCTGAGGCTGCAGATGCAGACGATGTCCACGACCAAGTTCCCGACGACAACTCTGAGCGAGAAAGGGCCCATGATAGTGTGCAGGGTTTGCGCCAGCTGCTTGCTCGTGTTCCTCGTGATGTTCCCCAGGTTCTTCCTGAGCCAGGTCCTGGTGTCTCGCCGCAAGCTGGGTCCAAGTTGGAGCGGCTGCACTTAGTTCACAGATGCGCCGGGGCACCCTGCTAACGAAGTTCTGGTTCGCATGCTTCAGATGGGTGGGGCTGATGACGACGCGGTCCAGATGGCCTAGAGCTTCCAGTGTCCCAAGTTCCAAATGAGGAAGCAGCCTTCACGACCTTTGCCCGCGCGCCCCGGGACCAGGCCGATTGCGTTCAATTCGGAAGCCTTAAGTACGTCAAAGATGCTGCCGGCCAGCTTTATGTTGCTTTGTCCATGGTGGATGCTGCGACGTGTTTTCATGCTGCTCGCCTGCTCCGATGCCGGGAACCCGCCCATCTGGCTGGCAAGCTCATGAGTGGATGGCTCTCAATCTTGGTGTTCCGGTCACGATCGTCCTTGAGCAGGGCGGAGAGTTTGAGACTGAGTTTATCGCCCTGCTGGAATCCCACAGCATTGCTAGCAAAGTGTCCGGCTCCTATGCTCCGGTTCGTGGCAGCACGGCTTGTGTGAACGCCAAGGCGCCTTCCTAGGTGTGTCTGCTGCAGTGGAGTCGGAGGACTCTTAGAGCAGTCTTCAGCTTCTCGTGGATGTCACCGTGCAGGAGGGTAACCTTGGCCGCCGCAGTCCGGCGGCGGTGTTGGTCCTGACGGTGCCCAGAAGTACTTCATGTCGTGGCGGGGCCGATGTTTGTTGGTGGTCGCAGCTAATGTGAAGATGGCATCCCTGGAGGCCATGAGCTCCGGCTTCGAAAGGCGAAAACACGCCTGGACCTGGAGCAGGGCATGTGGACTTATTCCATGAATCCCCTAGTTCTGCGCAGGGCCCTGGTCTGTCTGCTCCGAGGAGGAGAAATATTTTGGGACGGAAGGTCACGGAAGCCCGCCGCATGATAAGCATCTCAAGAGTGTCAAGAGGATGCTCAAGGTTCCTTTGCAAGGCCGTCGCCGACCGCGTGTTTCTCGACCTCCTGCGCCTCGAGTGGAACAATTTTGCCACCAAGCGTCGCCGAGAAGAGCAGGCAAGTGAGCTGCCGGAGAGCGGTGGCGGAGGTTGAACTGCCCTCAAAGCGGCTCAAGGACGGCTCCTTCTACAACTAGGTGTTGGCAGCTGTGTCGGAGGCTGACATGTTCAACGAGCCGGTGCTTCGCAACGAATGGCTAAGCAAGGCTGAGGTTCAGTCTCTAGGTGAGTTGCTGGACATGCCTCTTTGTTCTGTTCGTCTTCACCATGCCCAAAGGAAGAGACTTCAAGCTCCCGTGGCAATGTTGGATGCAACCGGACCACGTTGATGTTGAGACCGGAGAGTAAGCAAGTTTTGGTTGCCACGGAAGGACCCGAGCAGGTCGAAAAACGCCCTCGTCGTCGAACTCCTTTGCTCTGGCGGGGTTCAACTTTGTTTACCCGCCGCTCCGAGAGAGGCCCAGCGAAAGAATCTTTGTTCGAGCAGGAGGTCTCGCCCCACGAGCCGTGGCCGTGGAGAAGGACGGCGTCTACTACCAGTTGCCGCCGGTCTCGAAAATTTCGTTCTGGGCTGCCTGTGGTGGCTTGAGGTCCGAAACCTGTCGTGTGGAAGCTTTCGTCTTGCAGCTTCAGGCCAGTGGCAAAGAGCTGGAACCGAGGTACTTTGACTCAGCCGAGGCCAAGGCTTTTGACGAGGCGGACTCGGCGGAGCGGGGCGCGTGGACCAAGAACAACGTGGTCAAGCGCCTTTCGAACGAAGTGGCTCGCAAAGTTCCAGCACACGGGATCCTCAAGGTCCCGGCCCGTGTTGTTCGTACAAACAGCAGCTGCTGGAAGCAACAGGTCCTGCCGAAGAGCAGGATCGTGCTCCCCGGGTCATTTGGACCCGGACGTGGGAGAGATCCGCACTGATAGCCCCACGACCCAGGCCACGGCGGTGCGCATGGTGATGGTTCTGTGCATGAGCGTGCGGTGGGCGTGCTACTTGTTCGACGTGAGCACCGCTTTCTTGAGTGGCAAGTTTGCCTTTGCGTTGCTTTGCCGGTTGTTTGGTTGGACTTAGTGTTGCCAAGGCGATTTTTAGGACTTTTGGTTGAAACTTGAAGCGGTTAGTTACAATAGCCATCTTAGAGAACATGCCAAGCCGACGCAGGCACGAAAACAACTCCAACCTACAAGCATAGGAGCATCTACAGGTAGCATGTCGGATATTGTTACTGTAAAATCACGCAAAGTATCGGGCTCCGAGTCCCAGATCGAGTGCCGCACTGTGGGCTTCCCTAAGGTTTCGCACGTAAATGATGCAGGCCTCACTCTGTTCGGAAGCTGGGGTGCACTATTCAGACTCTGAGCATAAACAGTTTAAACTTTAAACATCCGTTGTCGAGGGATCTTCGCAGAAGCTCGCTGCGGCTGGTTCAAGCTGCGCGAAAGGGTTTTTCGTGAAACTTTGCCAGCTCATGTTTTGATTCGTGCTCTCATTGCTACCGTCAGAATCGCTCGTTCCGATTCAATGTATCGAGACAATTCTGGCAATGACGCGTGTTCCTGTGCTTAATTATATTGGCGCTTGGCAGGATTTCGTGTGTGCACTTGGTCCGGGGTTCGTATGTGCACACGCTTGCCCTTACAGGTCGGTGCAACCAGAATCAATGCCACTGCCGCTGAGAATGGCTAATGCCAGTTCAAATCCTCTGCGTCATTATCCCCCCCACCCCCTCGCCGCCCCAAAGCCAACATGTGCCGTTCCGAGCAACCCCCGAATCCCACAACCCCAACCCAAACCCAGTGTATGTGGCATTCGAAAAGCTCATGGAGGGGCTCCAGGAGGCACTAAAACTTTAATCTCCAGCATGTCCAGACGCACCCCTGCCATGTACACACAAGAGGCCCTTGCCGCTCTGCACTGACACTCTCGCCCCTTCGAGGTCAGACACACTCCGCAGAAGCTTGCTAACGAATCCAAACGGAATTTGGATTAGAGCTTTTGCCAATGACGGTGCAGCTAAGGTTCGGATTCTTCTGGAGGAGGGTGCAGACAGGAATCAGCGGACGTCAGGCATTCGCACACTGCTTTTCCTTAGCTGCCTTAGCTGCAGTCTCCAAAGTCTGTGAGGTGGCCGAACTGCTCTGGAGATCGCATTGTCTGAGGCGAGTGTGCAGCGCAGAGCGTGTGCAGCTGTGCAGCACCCGTGCTAGCCTTTTGACTCGCTAAAAATGTTGCAGGACCACAAGGGCTCACACTGCGGAGTGTGGCTTGGAGTGGATTGTAGTGCCGCTGTCCACGTGACGCAGATCTGCGCCGAGGTTGGATCTGCTGCAAGGTCGAACCTCCGTGATGGACATGCGCACTGCCATGAAGCATCTTGGCAAAGACCTTCGCAACCAGACATGCATCCAGCTTGTCTCCCGGGTTAAGGATGATGGTGACGGGCACGCAGACCTGTGACGCACAAGAGGAGTCCTAATTAACTGCACAGTCTGTCATCTTTCCATCTTTTGCAGCCGCCACAGTGTGGAGCAGACGCTGTTTTCGAGGCCGGGCCCCGCGTCTCAATCCTTGCCGTGACTGGAGGTTGCGCTTGGATCCTGCACGAAATTCGGACGTCAAGTCATTCCATTCCTATAAGTCTCAGAGAGACTGACCTCGCTCCCTTCGCTCATTCGGCCACACATTGATAAGCTTGGTGTCTTGAAGTAGGAGTGGCTGCGGGAAGTGTGTTCTCTAATGGGCTCCTTCTTGCTGTGTCAAAGGCCTACGTGACGAAGTTTCAGGCTTCGTTAGCACCGAAACGTCAAAAGGCATTCCACCCCCAGAAAACGTGGCGGCACAGCCATTGCGATTTCGGGCGTCGGGCAATGCACCATGGCCATTGGGAATCGGTCAACTCAAGGCATTTCAAGGGGGATGCTCTTTTCAGCCCACTCTTGAGAAACCGAGAGCTGCTTCGACAAGCTATGGAAACTCAAAGTTGAACGCATGTGCTCGCAGAAGACCTTCAACTGCCGCCAGTCCAACGCCATGCCAGAGTAAGATCACTTTGCTGTGCCTGCCCTGCAAGGCCGGCAGGTCGACGTAGAGAGGCGAGCTGGGGGAGGTCCTGCAAGGGGAGGGGTCGTGATTGGAGGACTTTCCAGGATGCCGTGGGCGGAGTGGAAGCTAGGAAGTCAAAGTCTAACGCAAGCGAAACGAGAGAAGGGAAGTGCCCGAGGCTCGCCGGTGACGTGTTTCGTTGTTTGATTTTCCTGCAGCTTTGTCTCGGATTTCCCGAGAGCTGCGACTTGAAAGAGTGCGTTCCGCCTGAGGATGTTGAAGAGTTGTTCACGGTACAGGAAGGCATGGGCAAGTCATTTGCCCACTTATGAGCCCAACATGGAAACCTGTTTAGAGTTTGCGATTTAGGATTTAGAGAGCCTCAACTTCGATATTTGCCGACGACGAACATCTTCAGGTGGACTTCCACAGTAGCCGTCTTATTTATCTGTTGCTGCAGATTCTGCAGCCTTCCCTCCTGTCAGGAGACAGGCCCTGATGCTTCGCTTACTTCGTATCGAATGGCGCGAACCCAGGTGCATTCGCCTGCTTGCCATCGGTTTTGACTCTTCGCACTTCGCATCGCTTTGGCTTCGTGGTTCACTCGCTGTTTTGTGCTCCAGGAAGCTGAGCTCAGCATTGCTGATCTCAGCTTCAGTATAGAGCATCTCCTGCAGAGCTGGAATGGCTCGGAGCAGGCAGGGTATTTGCCCAAGGCAGTGCCTCCACAGACATTGGCTTTCGAACCTGACTTCTTGGTGCACAGCAGATGCTTGAATGCTGTCTTTTTGAAGCCTGCACTCGGGCAGCAATTGCTATCCGTCTGTGGGCAACCCATGTGGCTTTTCCACATTGGGTGTATCTTGGTCCCCGAATCCAGAGAGGTTAAGGCTACGCATTTGGCATAGTTTGGCCAAATTGACGATGCACCGCAGAGTTTGACCTGTGAGAGAGTCTTTGCTCGCCACAGCTCCAAAAGCGTCGGAGTGTGAGTAGTCACGAAGTTCATTTTTGCTCGCGCATGGCCCCTCCTGCATTTTGCGGCCATCAGGAGACCAAAGGTATGGGCATAGTCCAGCCGGATTTCCGCCAGTTCACAAAGGCTGGAGTGGCGCCTGGATGTCACCGTAAATTCCACAGCAGTCAGTCAGGTGGGATACGAGGGACGATTGTCTGTGGTTTCTGAATCACAAGTGCATCAAGATGGGCTCCAAAGATATCTGGTCCAGGCTCGTCTCCTCCTGTCCACAGTTGCTTCTTTTTGCTGCATCCGAACCTTCAGTTCACTTCCGGCGAGCTGAGCCGAGCCGATGGTGTTGGATTTGTCTTCTCCCAACGTCTGCCCTGTGCCCTGGCCTGTTCATTCGCCGGTTTCTCGGATGGTGAACCCCCGGTGAGCCCCCCAAGGTGCCAAGAACATCCAGAGAATAGTCTCAATATTTGCCGGCTGCTTAGAGCTGTCCAGCGTTGCCCCCAGACCTATCCAATGTTCAAGCCACGGGAGGTGAATCAGCGAGGACGCATTTGCATGCGAGCATTTGCGGAGCTCGAGAGGTTGCTCCCTCAAGTATTGAAGCCACTACGCTATCTTCACTGCGGGCACTGCTCAATGCCATGGAAGGGCATCCGCTTTCGTGAAACCGCTGGAACTTGGAGACTGTGTGGAAATGGCTCGGTGCTGAGAAAGCTCTTATCGCAAGCGATAGCTCACTGCACTCTGTGCTTAGGCAATCGACCTGACAAACCAGGTTAGCCTCAGCCCTTATGCTTGCGGCACTGGCACTGCGATGGGTGCATGCGCAGGTCTGCTGCTTCAACATCTGGGAATGTACAGATTCTGGCTGGCCAGATTTGACCGGGTGCCACTGGGATTGTTCCAGCAAGGGTTGAAATCGGAGTGTGGTTCCCTGTGAGGAAGCCAGCTTCCAGCGCGGAGCTGAACTTCGGTGGCAGGATGAGCAGCCTCAGTCAGGCAGGCTCCTGGCACGGCTAGCGAAGTTGAAGTCCAACTCTTCCGGTGCCTCGTGTCCCTTCGCAGCCGGCTTGGCTCGAATCTCGAGGGTGCCGACAGCTCCTCGTCGGAGGATTCGTGATGAGCTCAATGCAGATGCACGGCGCGTAACGCTGGGGCCTTGGCCACTTCTGACTTCTGACTCTCCCAAGAGTTTCGCAGTATTGTCGGGGCCGCGGCCGAGGCTCAGAAAGTGCATCGTGTCATGCCTATTGGGCACGATGCCGAACCTGAGCAGCAACGAAGTGCGAAAGACGACAGGTGAAGTGTTTTTCAATGTATGCAGCTGAGGGTGAAGGACGGGAAGGCCTAAGGCTGTGTCTCTCCAACGAACCTTGTGAGAAGCCGTGCGACGCGCAGCCGAGGAAATCAAGAGTGTGTCCACGAAGCCCGGTCGGAGCCGTAGCATCTCTTGAGTCCTAAATCCTTAGTAGATGCTATAGCTCGAGCATAAGGCTACCAGCGCAGGAAGACCCTCCCTGCCGTCGTCTCATCGAAATCCGAGGCAGAGTCGCAGTCGCATGCTCATGTTCTTTCTCTTTGTACAGCATGTCTTCACCGAAGGCACTGGCAAAGACGCTGGCAACTCAGAGGTGCACCAGCTTTTGCTCAAATCTTCGATTACTTGCCTGCGTGATTTGCAGCGGTGCAGGGTTATGTGCTTTAGAGTATGTGTATACCAACCCACCACCCGCCCACCCGCCCACCCGCCCACCCGCGCACCCGCCCACCCGCCCACTCGCCCACCCGCCCACCCGCCCACCTGCCCACCCGCCCACCCGCCCACCCGCCCACCCTCCCACCCTCCCACCCTCCCACCCAACCAACAACTCTCAATTAACAACTCATCCCACCACAACCTCCCCAACCAGCAACCCATCCAACCAGCAACCACCCAACCCAGCCCGACCCAACCCAACACCAACCTAACCCAAGACAACACCAACCCAACCGACACAACCAACCAACCCACCCAACAAAGCCACCCAGGCCAGCCAAGCCCACCAAGCCAACCAAGCCACCCAAGCCAACCAAGCCAACCGAGCCAACTGAGCCAAGCAAGGCAATCAATCACCCAAGCCACCCAAGCCATCCAAGCCAACCACCAAGCCACCCAAGCCACCCAAGCCACCCAAGCCACCCAAGCCACCCACGCCACCCAGGCCACCCAAGCTAACCAAGCCAACCAAGCCAACAAAGGCGGCAAAGGCAACCAAGCCAATCACCCAAGCCACTCACCCAAGCCACTCACCCAAGCCATTCACCCAAGTCAGCCAAGCCAGCCAAGCCAGCCAAGCCACCCAAGCCGCCCAAGCCGGCCAAGCCAACCAAGCCATCCACCAAGCCATCCACCAAGCCATCCACCAAGCCAACCACCCTAGCCAACCAAACGAACCAAGCCAACCAAGCAAACCAAACCGAGCCAGCCAAGCCAACCAAGTCGACCAAGCCAACCAAGCCAGCCAAGCCGGCCAACCTAACCAAGCCAACCAACCCAACCGCCCAACCACCCAGCCAGCTAGTTGTCCAGCCACCCAGCCGGCCACCCCAGCCGCCCAGCCACCTAGACACTCACCCTCCCACCCAACCACCCACCAATCCAGCCACGCACCCAGTCCTAGGAGTGCACACTTTGAGTGATGTAAAGGCGCGTGTATGCATGCATGTGCGTAGGTATGTATGTACGTATGAGGAAGATACATATATATATATATATATATATATATATATATATGCATGCATATGTGTATATGTGTATATGTGTATATGTGTATATGTGTATATGTGTATATGTATATATGTATATATGTATATATGTATATATGTATATATGTGTATATGTGTATATGTGTGTATGTAGATATGTAGATATGTATATATGTATATATGTATATATGTATATATGTATATCCATATGTATATATGTATATATGTATATATGTATATATGTATATATGTATATATGTATATATGTATATATGTATATATGTATATATGTATATCCATATGTATATATGTATATATGTATATATGTATATATGTATATATGTATATATGTATATATGTATATATGTATATATGTATATATGTATGTATTGATATATGCTTAGGCCCCTCCGGGCCCATGCCCGCTTCCTTTCGAAGGGAGTGGATCATGGCGGTACTTTTCAATGCCTCAAAGCTCACGAAACACTGCAATGCTCAAAAATTGCAAAATTTTAATGAATCTGCACTCGGGCTGGCCATAGATGCCAGAATGTTGGAATTTTTTGGAGTTTGTTGAGCATTACAGTGTTTCCTGACTTTTGAGCTTGAGCAAAACAGTGTTTCGTGGCTTGAACCTCGCAAGGCGCTGTAGTGCTCAAAAAACAAATCAATTTTTCACTGCCTCCAAGCTCACGAAACACTGTCATGCTCAAACAATTCCAAAATTTTACTGAATCTGCACCCGGGCTGGCCATAGATGCCAGAATTTTGGAAGTTTTGGAATTTTTTGAGCATTACAGTGTTTCCTGCGGCCCATGCCCCAAGAATCACCATGGCGTAGATCTTGGTGGGGGGGGCGGGGACGAACATATTATATATATATATATATATGTTCTTACATCTATATATACATATACGTATATATATATATATATATGTCTCCTAATTATCGGTCTGGTGGGTAGGAATTAGGAGATCAGTTTCGCGATCGTTGGAACAGACTTGATCTATTTTCTCCGTGGCCATTTTGGCGATAGCCGATCGGGCCATACCGAAAAATCGGCGTGGGAGGTGAAAGTGAATAGGCTCGCTCGATCGCAGCCATGTCGTTCCCTCCCGCTGGCTTCCATCAAGGTCGGCAGATGGCGGCTCCGATGGCCCCACAGTTCGGGCTGCCCCGCCGGCTTGGTCAGCCTGAGAATCCGGGCAACTGGGGACACTACGTTCCAGGCGAGGCGGAGGCTCCCGAGAATCCCGCGGCTCCAGCTGCCGCATCCGGCGATTGGGGCTCTGGAGGCTGGGGTCGCGACGATCGTCGTGGACGACGTGACCGCGGGGCTCCTGCTGCCCACAACCCCTTCGCTGTTCAGCGGCCTGAGTTCGTTCGCCAGGTCGTGGTCGAGGAAGAGGACGAGACCCAGAACTCGCTCCTCGTCATCGACAACCGCGACGACCGGGTGATCTCCCCGTTCCAGAACTGGCTGGCCGAGGAGATCATCTCGAATGCCGCCAGCTCGATCAATGTGCTGACGGAGCGGGACTCGGTCATGCCCCCGAACTCGGGCTACCACTGTTCGCTGTTCGCGAACTATACGCTCGATGGCATCAAGGCCGTTCTGCTCTTTTCGATGTCTTCGAAAACAGGGGGACCATGTGCTCAGTGGGACTCCTACGCGAGTCGGGCGCTATCGCACCCGGCTTTCCAGCCCTTCACTTGGCCGGTGATGTTCGACACCTCGGCCACCTATGTGGATGTGAAGGTCTTCAATGGAAACGAGGTCCTATTTCATTGGCTCTTCAGGGGCTACCGCTCGGACTCGGATCTTTCTGTCCAGCAGCAGTTCTGCGACAAGGTGTTGATCCGGTCAGCCAACGAAGGATGGTTCCGACCCTCGATCGTCATCTCGGTCTTCGTTGGATGGAAGGTCTCCGTGACCTCGTTCGAGGTTGGAGCCCGAGTCTACACGATCGGCCCGAGGGGAGCAGTGATGGCGAGCGACCATGCCATGAGCACCTGTGAGCTCAGGGTGACAGAACGATCGTCCCGAGAAGGCTATGGGAACGACGCCGATCGTGTTGAGTTTCGGTTCCGGGACGCCAACAACCGGATCGATCTCAAGTGCGGGAGGACTTCGGTGCCTGGCACGTGGCTCACAGTCAGCCACATCTCGGGCCCCGCTCTGATCAGCACGATCCAGGCCTGTCGGACCCAGCGTGCTCGCGTGGAAGGTCCAGACCACATCCAGCAGTTCGCGCAGCTGTCTGCGGTGATCGCCCCCTGGTACCACAGTGCGTTCGCCCACGAACAGGCGCAAGTGGGAACTGCGACAGACGAGTTCCCGATGGATCATGGGAACTTCCACGTGCGGGCTAGATCTAAGCTCAGGGTCTGCCCACTGGAGTTCGTCCGGCAGGAGGCGCTCGCCCACCGGTCGCACGAGAACAACGCCGTTCGAGCTCGGAACGGCCCCCCGGCTCTTATGGAAGAGGCGGCTCGGCAGGCAGTTCAGCAGCTGGGCTCCTCGGTCACTTCGGCGCTCACCAACATGCCCACCTCGGCTCAGCAGGTGTTCGACCAGAGGGTGAGCACTGTTCCGGTGCCGGAGGAGGGCCAGCTCGGCCAGGAGCAGATCGCCGAGGAGGTCGTCACCGATGCCCGCGATCGCATGAGGGCCGACATGCGATTCTCGCGCACGTCGGCTGCGATCACGCCTCAGGTTTTCACCGACGTGCTCCAGCACCGTGAGCAGGCGGAGTACGAGCGGATCAGCACGGTCAGGGTGGAGGAGACGGGCCAAGAGATCACGGCTTCCCCCTCCTCTACGACCACGGTGCCGAAGGCGTTCGCCCCGGCCTACCCGCCAGCCAGATCGTCAACGGGACCCTACACGATGGACAATACAGACTAGTTGTCGATCGAAGCCTAGGTGATGGTCGATTTTTGTGCACGCTCCTAAGAGAGTGGTGCGCCGCGCGACCGAAGCCTCCTGGCGGATCAGCCGGGCTCTTCCGCGGAACAAACATGCCGAGCGATCCTCTCGGCGCGCTAGATCCCAGCGCATGTTCCGCCGGAAGTGAGATTGATCAATACCTGTCTCAGGCACGGCGCTCGGTTACCATTAGCAGGCACGTGCGATCGTTCGTGCAGCTGTTCAGGCCCAGCATGGATAGGTCCGTTCGGAAGATCCTATCCCTCCCCCTGTTCGGGGATGAATTTTGCCAATGGTTGGTGGATCTTCGGATGGCTCAGTTCGAGAAGCTCACGGCTGTTTCGGACGGGACGATCGCTGAGTGTGTGCAAGCATTCATTGATCTTGTCCCTGCCCTCGAGGAACTCCACACGCCAGATCGGCGGAAGAACGAGGAGGAGCTCGGCAGGTGGGTTCCGTCGATCGAGCTGTTGTTTGTGCTGGTTCGTAGCACGGCAGCAGCGGGCTGGGCTGATCTGGCCACTGATCTGGGATTCGGCTTGGCTGAAGCTCCGGTCGTCTTCGGGCGATCGCCACTGAAGTCGAAGGGGACTGGCAAGGAGCCTCCTATGCCATTGCCGCTCGCCAAGAGGCCGCGGGCGATCGAGCCGAGGCCTGAAGATCCGCAGGCATCGCTCAAAACCCGTGAGCTCGGCGAGGCCCGAAAGTGGGGCATGAGGCTGAAAGCGATCGTGGAGAGGTGCGGCGAGCACGCCGCGATCGCGGGCAACCCGAAGCCGGGATCACCCCTGTCCCAAGATGAGATGAATGCATTGAGGTTGATCGTCTTCGAGAGTGGCGGTTTCCGCACTATCCAGCAGTGCGTTCGTCACTGGGAGAGGATTGAGACTTGGGCGAGGTCGCAGAACCTAGCGGTGATCCCGCTGACTACCGACGTGCTCGTCAAGTACCTCTTA